ATATATATATATATATATATATATATCATCTATCTAAAGAATTTGACTCACATGATTGTGGGAACCGTCAAGTATGAAAGTCACAGGGCAGGACAGCAGACTGGAAACTCAGGGAGAAATTGATGCTGTAGCCCTGAGGCAGAATTTCTTCTCTGGAAAACCTGTATTTGCTCTTAAAGCCTTCACCTGATTAGATGAGGCTCGCCCATGTTATGGAGGGTACCGTACTTTCTTTTAAGATTTTTTTTTAGTTGAGGTAAGATGGGTTTATAACACGTAAGTTTCAGCTGTGCAACATTGTAATTCAACATCTGTATACACTATATTGTGCTCACCACCAAATGTCTGGTTTCCATCTGTAACCATACAGTTGACCCCCTTTACCCTTTCACCACCTTCCCCTCTGTAACCACTGACCTTTTGTCTGCCTCTGCATTTGTTTCTGGTTATTCATTTGTTTTGTTTTGTTTATATTTCACTTATGAGTACTTGTCTCTTTCCGTCTGACTTATTTCACTTAGCATAATACCCTCAGAGTCCATCCATGTAGTCGCGAATGGCAGGATTTCTAACATGCTTTTACAATACTTAAAGTCAACTGATGGTAGATGTTAGCCACATCTATAAAAGACCGTCTTAGCAACACCTAGATTAGTGTTTGATTAAATAATTGGGTGATACAGCCTTGTCAAAGTGCCACACAAAACTACCCTACCTTTTAATCTACTCTTCAGTAGATAAAAAGTTTATCTAGTTTCAAGATAAAACACCTAACCTTCTGGAAACATGACTGCTACAAGGCCCCTTCCCATTTTCTAAGAAGGCCATTTCCCTGCTCATGAGTGGAGGATGTAGGAAAGGAGAAATGAAAAGCTTTAAATTTTATCTTTTGAATAGCTCTAGTCTCCCGAGAAACATTAAGAAATGACCGATCTGAATGAGAATTTGGCATCTGGTTAAATTTCTGTAATCCACAGTATTTCTCTCCCTCCAAGAACAAAAATTCACCCTAATGGTGTTTCAGAAACAGGCCTCCCAACAGGGGGTGACTTCAGTCTTTCTTCATTTTATGTCAAAAGTGTAGCCAAGCATCTCCACTGGCCAAAGTGCTCACTCTAGCCCTGCAGGGAATTTATTATCATGCTCTGGTGACATGAATTTTGCATGCACACCACTCAGGCCCTGGGCTCTGCCTAATCCAGCTGCCACCAGACTATTTAAAAAATAGTGCACATCAGGAAAAGAAGAAAGAGTATTATTACTTTCCCTAAATTATCAATTCTCCTTCCACATTCAACACACAAATAAAGCCTTTGAATTATTCATGCTGGATCAATCAAAACACTAGGTGCCAAATTGTGCTAATTCAGGCCTTCTCTAAACTGATTGGCCTGCCCCCCTCGAAGCTCCTTTTTCCCCTCACTCCCACCCCAAATCAAGGTACATTAAATAGGCTTCCAAGATAATTGGGTGACTTGAGCTCATACATCTAAAACTTATAAATATCCTTTTTGAATAGTGCTATAAAAGTACTTAGTAATTAAAGACTAAAAACTAAAACGCTGGAAGCCAGAAGAAAAAAAGATCAATGAAAGTACTCTAATTTGAGTCCCCTATCCCTTACAGTAGGAAGCGTTTGGCTTTCCCTCAGAGTCCAGCTTTTCGGCTCTCTGCTGCCTGGAAATTCAAGTGTTGCCTCCTCGACTGGGTTAAAAGCTCTTTGAGAACACAGAAAATGGTTTCTACTTCTTTACTAGCACAACGCTGGGCATTCAGGGGACTAAAAGGGACAGGCCTGACCAAATAGAAGAGCCAGAATTCATCACTGAAACCAAACAACAGACAATGGACTTTTTCCTTTAAATTCCAGTACCTAAGATAGAATCCTGGATGGAGAATGCTGACTTGGTAGGCTGCCCTCAGGCCTCTGTAGACGCTACCATGTTTCTATGCTTCAAAAGACATACTATTGTTTTATTCAGAGCATCAATACAGCATAGCCTAGCAACAAACAGGGGCCTTCTTCCAGTCCTTGAAAGAACTGTGTAGGAATAACTGAAGAATCACATGATGCCCTAAGGTTTGGACATCCCTGCAACGAGAATATAATGAACACTCGTTACACTGAATTTGAGATGTGCCTGGCAGTCTTTTCAGAGTTCAAAGTGCTTACTCTCATTAGCTATCAGATGCCATGTCTAATCCGATGTTCAAATTCGTATCTGCTGTGTAACTGGGTTCAATGTGTATATTTGACAATAAAGCAGGTATTGGCCCCATAGAGAAGTCAGGTCTCCTTGAAGAATCCATTAACCAATTCAGAGATAGAGGGAAGGGAACAAAACCTCAAACATTTCTAATCATAGGCTGGGAAACAAACCAGATCAAAACCCAACCAAATTTCTGGACATAATAGTGTCATAGTCCAGCAACTGCCCTAACGTTCTATGGAATCCTACACAATAAGCACCAGACTCATCTGTTCATTCATTTGATAAGCATTTACTTATTGGCCACTGACTGTGTACTAGTTGTGCTGGGTACTTGTTGGGACAGCTGATGCCAATGATAAACCGAGTCCCTGCCCTCACAGAGCCCAGTATCCCGGTGACGCCAATAAAACACTATAGAACAATTTATTTCATTTGAAAAGATAATTGCCATACTTTTTATTTCCTGGGACCCCAAAATATCAGCAGTATTTCTTTAATCATTCATTATAGAAACTTAACTCTAATTCTACTTCATTCCACCCCAATCCTTACATTACAGTCCTAGCCTGTACATTATATTGCGTTCAGTCTAGTCCCGTCCATTACTGAGCCTTTCCCAAGCCTCAGTACATCAGATGGTTGCAGACTCTTGACGATGGAGGAAAAGGGGAACTTGTAATCACTGAATGCCTATTATATGCCAGCCTTTGTGCTAAGTAAAAACCGAAGCAACTCATTTAATACTCCCCAGAATTCTCAGAAGTAGGCATTATTCTGTTTCTTCCTACAGGTGAGGAGACTGAGGCTCAGAGAGAATGGGTCACTTAGCATCAGAACTGGAGTTCCTAACCCAAGAGGCCTGTGCTCATCAAGGTTCCTGATCAAGCAGTCGCGAGTCAGAGGCTGTGTGTCAAATAGTACAGTCACCATCCTATGACATCCTACATGTTTAGTCATGTACTGTGTGGTCTCAGGTCCAGTACCTAATGGCTTTGAGCCTAAGCCTCAATTTCATCCTCTGTGCAAAGGTGAGAGAATGCCTACCTGATAGAATTATTATGAGGATTTTAATATGCCTGCCCCATACGAGGCCCTAAAAAAACAGGCTAGTGATAATGATGATGATGATGATGATGACTGCCTCATTAATAACACAAGCAAGAAAACAACCATCTGGACTTACGCCTAAAACTCTTCCTACAGACAGCTGCATATGTTCCCTCACAGCAGCAATCTTGACACAGCCCAGCACACCAGGATGACTCTGGCTTGCAAAGATTCAGATGATTTTTGCTTTGCAGGTGAGAGTTTAGTTTTAAAAAGATGTTTCCTTTATAAATGTATTTGTTGCTTGTTTGCTCAAACATGTCTTCAGAGGAAATTGTTAAAAGCTTCACTTTAAGAAACCAGGGGACCAAGGTAGGCAGGGTGATCAGCATAGTCTTCGATGTTTCCCATAAGCAGCTACTGAGTCATTGGTACCCTGTGACCCTTGAAAAAGGAGGTGTTATCCCACTGCAACCCATTGACCTAAGCATTTAGCTAATCAAGAAAGTGATTTGAGAGGAAGTAAAGGACCCAAATCCAGTTTAAAAGATGTATTAGTTCTACAACATTTCAGTGTAATTATTATTTATTTAGACATCCCATAGGTGCCATGACTGCATAAACGTCTATGTTCTGTTCAGGGCTTAGGAAATGATTGGGGTTTAATGCAGTTTAAACAAGCTGCATAATTTCCCAGACAGAATGCCCACCCCATCTTTCCTTTCTCTAGGCATCTTAAACCATTTCTCTGGCATAACCACACAACACACTCCCGGAAGGAAGGCAGGGATCACTCTGTGCATCCATTTACAAATGAGGCAGCTGAAGCCAACAGGGAACTGGTCACTTGTCTAAAGATCACACAATTGTTTAGGAGTGAAGAGAATGATGGCAGTGGAATCCACATCTCCAACCTCAGGTCTGGGCTCATATCACCGAAATCCAGAGCATTCAATCATTCCAGGAATTAGCACCTGAGGTAGTGGTGCTGAGAGGATGGGGCTGATCACCTGAAACAGAGGGGCCATGACTGAAGGAGGTTAGGCCTTGGCCACCGGGGAAGGGGTGGGCAAGAAAGGGAAGTAAGGTATGAACAAACCCACACACGCGAATGCTGTTTTAGGATTACTGATGTGTCTGCTGCCCACCTATTAACACATCCCAGACATCTAGGAAACCTCATTTGGACATTTTTGAAGGTGAGAAGATGGCTGACATCTTTTCCTCAACATACATTCTGTACCTCCTACTCTGGGGGTTGGTATGAGGATCCCTTTCCCCCATTTTAATATTTATGCAACTATTCTACATTCATCTTAGTTTCTGGCTGTTTTATCAGCATCTTTGCAACGGATCCCAAATATTGGCGTTAAAGGTTGTTAGCAGTTTTGAGTTGTATATACTTGAAATCCTGTGAACCTGAGTTAGACTTAATTCCATGAGAAACAAAAATAACATTCCACTGAATTACCAACAATCACATCTATGGTTAAGTTTGAGTGATTTTTTTTTTAACATCATACCATTGACAGACATATTCCTGCCCATTATTTTAAAACACGATTTTTCTTCTGGCCTCAATAAATGATGCCCCAAGGTTACAGGTCACCTGTTAGATACAATTTAGTAGCAGGCTGCTGGCCCCCTCACTCTTATTCCTCTCTGATACCAGCTCCTCGCCACTGACTCCTAACACCTAAGACTCAGCTCAGAGCATGAGTAAGGGCAGACCACACTCACCTCTGTCCAAACATCAGCGTTGACTTAGTCTCGGCTTCATTGAAGACAGAGGGAGAACAGCAAATGACGATGGTAGTTCTACAGTTCCCACCCAGGGAGTCCTGAAGGATCCGGGTCATCTTGCTGTCCCGGTATGGCACGTGTGTTTTCTATGTAGGAAAAGAAACAGTATTGGCTGCTACAGCCCATTCAAAAGAAAAAAAACACAGAGGCAAGCAAGTTAGTGATGGGGACACTGGGCTTAGAAACACGTGCGAAACCTGAATCTGTTGCCTGGTCTTTGGATCTTGCCAAAGTTTAGAATGCCCATTCTGGAACCCGGGTCACAGGCAATTAGCATCACCATTCACACAGCTTAATGGGCCAGAACTCCCAGCAAGCAGGGTGTGCACAGCCAGAACTCCCTCTGTCCCGTTCCAAGCAGCAACAAGCGCATCTCTGGGGTGTGTGGCAAAGGGAGCCCACGGACCCAAAAGGGCAACTTCTTATAATATCATTTCATAGATGGGGACAGGATCACTTACTGTCCCTTCTGCCAAGGCAGAGATCACGTTTCCAAGAGCAGACAAAGACTTATTGATATTTTTAGCTTCGTCGAGAACAGCTCCCTCGGCACCAGTTTTGCTGACCTACGAGAGAGCAGAGAAAGCACGGAGCTGCACGGGCCAGCAAAAGCACAGAGCAGAAAATTCCAATTCACAGGAGGGCGAAGGAGCAGGGGGTGGGGGGACGCGAGTCCTCCTGGAACGCAAGGGAAAAGAAGGGTAAGTAAGAATCACATTGATAAAAACTTCCCTCGTGCCTGAGGCTAGGGATTTGTTCTCTCTGGTTGTCATTTTCCTCTCAATTAGGTTTTAGGAGAATGGCTGAAATGCCTCAAGTGGTAAAGTTGCAGATGCTTCCCCGGGGGACATCCATCCAGGAAAAGCAGACTTTAAAAGGCTGAGGCTGGGACACTGAACCACAGTCTGTACTCGGGAGGGAGCCCAAGGGGAAGCTTTCAGAGAAAATGCTGTCCTGGCCACAAAGAGTGGACATATTGGGAAAGGGTAAACTATGAGCTCCAACTTCAGGAAAAGGGCAAGGAGGGGGCGGGGGGAATGGTTGTCCAGACTTTGTCCAGACTCCCTGTTCCTTCCCCCACTTCCCCACAGCAAGGAAAAAAGGAACAACTATCCAAAAGGAAAAACACTCTTGGGGGGGGGCAGTCATTAGCACCTAACTCTAATTAAAATTAATAGTTTAGATGAAGAATTTGAATAGTGTTTAAAAGCAACTTCTGGAAAAAAAATCACATTAATATAAAGGTAATAAAACAGACTGGCAGAAATCCAAAAAAAGGTGCAACTTGGGTAAAATACACTGTGTTCAGGGGTGCATGATACTTAGGCCACACAAGACTGGGAAGAAGCAAGCAGAAAGGACAAAGCCCCAGGTAGTATTTATTCTGGATTCTAAACTCTCCAGTGGCCTCAAAAATAATTTAGCGTTTTCGAAACATTCAACCAGAGCTCTTTATAAACATGGCTGCTGTTTAGGCATGGAAAGTCAAGAAAATGTATATTACATCGTGAAATTTGTTTTTTCCTCTGCAGCCAGAGGGAGCACACACAGTTCCTCCTCTGCTGTGTTATTACTGGTAATTTCATATTAGGGAGAGAGCAATTTACAGATGTTAGAAAAAAGGGGAACTCGACATGATTCATAGCTCTGCTGACTGGACAAATGACACAGGGTGAGCAGCTGCTCTCTAAAGAAAGAAAAGCGAGGAAATCATTTTAAACTGCACAAAGACGGGTTTCAATTATGTATAAAGGAGAAACTACTAACAATAGAGATGGATGCATGTCCAGCAGCAGGTTTTTTTTAAATAGGATCAATTCTCATCTCACTGAGAACTATGCATGTGGGTACCTCAACTTGGAGATAAGAGAAATAATACAGCTGATGGGCCACAAACAATAACTGTCTGTTCACATGGTGTTGTTTATGTTGTTCTCATATCTGCGTGTCGTAACTCCATGAAATATGCAAGACAGGTACAATCACCTTCCTATTACAGACAAGGAACATTTAAGCTCCAGAGATGTCAAATTGCCAGCCCAAGGGAAGAACACCACTTAGCGGAGTCGGGGACTAAAGCCCAGAGCTCTGGATCTCTAGATCACCCTGACATGTTCATATGGACACGTCTAGGGCAAAGGAAAACAGATATGAGCAAAAGAAACAATGCCTCATCAATGTCATAAGAACCACCAACACTGCAGAGGACTGCCTCCACTCTGAATTGCCAGCATTTTTCAGCTGCTTTTGAGTCCTAAATCCTCATCCCTGTGCTCTAAAGGGATAGAGGGCAAACTTGGGAAGAACGAAAGGGCCACTGGGATCCTTGTCCAGACCCACACGGTTTCTGTGGCAGCAAAGCGGGGTCCTGGTTGCTAATGATTAGTCTAGAACTAACACGCAAGGCTGCTCTATAATCTCATTCTGGTGAGTGTCTGTTTAATTAAAGTTACGAGCTCATTCCAGTAAAATTTTAGATTCCCAACCAAGAACATCCAGATGATTTTCTGCTCATGGCTCTACAAATGCATGCAGGGGAACAATCCAAGTAGCCATTGCTTACAGGGATGTTAGTGGCCATAACTTGGTGTCCGGGAACTAAGTAGTGGGGTGCAGTTAAGCAGGAATCAAATACACAGTTCAGAAGACTGCCCGAGCTTCAGGGGGGCTGATGGGGACAGTCAACGCGATGACAGTGATGATGGAGGCCACATGCTATTGTGCACATGGACTGGCTCCGTGATGTCGCCCAAGTGGGGCAGGGCCCCCAAGCCAGGCTGTGGCAGCAGGAACCCCCTAGCGGTACCCCGGAAACAAGGTTGGAAGGAGCAGGTGGGAGGTTCTGGGAAGCCTATGTGGTCTGGACTCTCTCAGCCAGTGCCTGGGAGAGCATGGGACAGGATACAAGGCTAATGGAAGCCCTGCCAAAACCAGAGAAGGGCGGGGGCTTGTGGCTAAACACTGATTACAGGCCACGCAGCCTGAAGGAAGTGAGGCCGCCATGTGAGACACCGTCTCCATGTCCACTGCAGAGAGAAGCAGGGAATGCGGGCAGAGCCCCAGGCTGCAAATCTTCTATCAGCAAACATACCTGCAGAGGCAGGACTGCCACATTCCAATACAAAGCCCCTTCCCGGCCTATTTGAGTCTGGGACAACAGGGGACTCTTTCCTTTCCTCAAAGTGCATGTCCCTCTTGCATTTGCAAAACTGCCTTTGCCAGGCTAAGTTCACCCCAACACACTTGCCTAATGGCATAATCAGAGCCTATGAGCCATAAAGCAGAGTTGGCATTCAAAGCACCTCCTCTGACGCAACTAAGGGACATCAGGACCAGAAAAGAGAGAGCAGGGAGACGAAGATTAAATTTAATAACATCTTGGCGCAACATCAGGAACTTTAAAAGCTCTTTAAAACCAGGAAATAGAAAGGCATAAAAATTATATCATTGCACAGTAAAGCAAATAACAGGGGGAAATTATAGCTAATACAAATAAAGAACCAATTACCTTTTCGCTCCCAGCCAAATCAACTAGATAAAGCTTCCCACTGAGTTTTTTTTCCGTCTCTACATTCTCTTGTTTAATATTAATCAGGAAGATACTGTGACTCCTAGAGCTGTGCTCATTCATGTCTGAAAAGGAAAATAGTTTACTGCTCTACAAAGAACACATAAATTTAGGTAGCAAGCCTCTTAAAAGACACAACAAATCATGCCTAGTAGCTCAATTTTTAAAAGGAAGTCCAGCCAAATGTTAAAATTATCAGAGGCCACCATTTCTTCTTAAAAACGATGCTCATTTTAGAAATGAAAGATTTAAAATATCTTTAAGTGGCAAAGAAATTAATCTAGAATCTTAGTCAGTGGTTGAAGATAGACTCTCTCGCTCTGCCTGAAGCCCCATCCTCCAACATCCCACACCAGCTTGACTCTCTTCCGGAAGTGCTCACAGCCCCTCCCCTGCCTCGCTCAGACCCTCAGCCTTTATCATCATGATTAGGACTTGACATATTCCACCATCTTCATGTTGTAAGGCTTACCTTACCGGTAATAGCAAAACTTTCTTAAGGAAGTATTATGGATTAAGACATACACTTCTTCTATAATCCATGCTAGGTGCATAAAAGGTCTCAAAGACTAAATGTGCTCCATTAGGACCGAGTACTAGAAATAAAAATCTTGGGGACCCTGGTCTTGTTCATCAGGCAAGCAGAGACCCCAGTGACTGTCTTATTCAACCCCTACTAGCAATCATTTCTTAAAACCATCTTACCAGATTACATGGAAGAAACCTTAAAGAGTCCACAAAAAATATGTTAAACTAATAAACAAATTCAGCAAAGTTGCAGGACACAAAAGCAACATATAAAAATAAGTTACACTTCTATATATTAACAATGAACAATCCAAACAGGAAATTAAGAAAACAATTACCTTTAAAATAGCAACAAAACAATAAGGTACTTAAGAATAAACTTAACCAAGGAAGCAAAAGACTTATACACTGAAAACTACAAAATGTTACTTAAACACACACACACACACACACACACACACACACACACGTACACACACACAAATAAATGGTAAGACATTGCAAGTTCATGGATTTGAAGATCTAAATATTGTTAAAATGACAGTGCTACCAAAAGTGATCTACATAGAGTCAGTGTAATCTCTATCAAAATCTCAGTGATGCTTTTTGTAGAAATAGGAAAGTCTATCCTAAAATTCATATGGAATCTCAAGGGACCCCAAATAGCCAAAACAATCTTGAAAAAGAACAAAGAACAAATTTGGAGGTCTCACACTTACTGCTTTCAAAACTTACTACATTGTATATATACATATATATATATATACCACATCTTCTTCATCCAGTCATCTATCAATGGACATGTAGGTTGCTCCTGTATCTTGGCTATTGTAAATAATGCTGCAATGTACAGAGGGGCGCATCTCTCTTTCCTAATTAGTGTTTTTGGGGGTTTTTTGGATAAATACCCAGAAGTGGAATTGCTGGGTTGTATAGTATATCCACTTTTAGTTTTTTGAGGAATCTCTATACTGCTTTCCATAGTGGCTGCACCAATTTGCAGCCCCACCAAGAGTGCACAAGGGTTCCCTTTTCTCCACATCCTCATCAGCATTTGTTGTTTGTTGACTTTTTTATAACAGCCTTTCTAACTGGTATGAGACAGTATCTCATTGTCGTTTCGATTTGCATTTCCCTGATGATTAGTGGTGTTGAGCATCTTCTCATATATCTGTTGGCCATCTGTATGTCTTCTTTGGAGAGATGTCTTTTCATGTCCTCTGCCCATTTTGCAGTTGGATTGTTTATTTTTTGTTATTGAGTTGTATGAATTTCTTATATACTTTGGATATCAATCATTTGTATCATTTGTAAATATACTCGTTTTCTCCCATTCAGTAAGTTGCCTTTTTGTTTTGTTGAAGATGTGGTACAAACACACACACACACACACACACACACACACACACACACGCTCACGCACACACACAATGAAATATTATACAGTGATAAAAAAATGACATTTTGCCATTTCCTACATGGATGGATCTAGAGGGTTATGCTAAGTGAAATAGAAAGACAAATACTGTACGGTTTCACTTATATGTAGAATCTAAAAACAAAAACAGACTCATAGAAACAGAGATCAAAGAGATGGATATCAGAGGGGTGGGGGCATGGGTGAAAAGGGGAAAGGGAATATAGCTAATAACATTGTGGTAAGTTTGCATGGTGACAGGTGATAACTAGAATTAGTGGGGTGATCACATTGTAAGGTATAAAACTGTCACATCACTATATTGTACATCTGAAACTAATATAACCAATATAAGATTGCATACCAACTATACTAAGATACTTAAATAAAAAAAAAAACTTATTCAAAGCTACAGTAATCAAAACAGTGTGGTACTGGCATAAAGGGAGACATATAGACCAAAGGAATAGAATAGAGAGACCAGAAATAAACCTTCACATAATACAGTCAAATAATTTTTAACTAGAGTGTCAATGGGAAAAGGACAGTCTGTTCACCAAACAAGGTTGAGAAAACTGGATATCCACATGGAAAAGAAAAGAAAAGAAAAGAAAAGAAAAGAAAAGAAAAGAAAAGAAAAGAAAAGAAAAGAAAAGAAAAGAAAAACAAAGCTGGACTCTTACCTCAAGCCATATACAAAAATTAACTCAAAAAGGATCAGAAACCTAAATGTAAGAGCTAAAACTATAAAACCTTAAAAGAAAACACAGAAGAAAAGCTTCATGACACTGGATTTGGCAATGATTTCTTAAATATGACACCAACAACACAAGCAACAAAAGAAAAAAGTAGATAAATCAGACCTCATCAAAATTAAAAACTTTTGTGATCAAAGAGTAAAAATGCAACTCACAGAATGAGAGAAAATGTTTGCAAATCATGTATCTGATAAGGGATTGATATTCACAATATATAAAGAACTCCTACAACAACAAAACAAACCCAATTAAAAAATGGGCAAAAAACTTAAATAGATATTTCTCCAAAAATGTATAAAAAGCCAATAATAACATGAAAAGATGCTCAACATCACTAATCATTAGGGACATGCAAATCAAAACCACACTGAGATACCCATTAGGATGGCTGTTAAAAAAAAACAACAACAGAAAATAACAAGTGTTGAAAAGGATGTGGAGAAATTGAAACTCTTGTGCACTGTTGGTAGGGATCCAAAATAGTACTGCTACTGTGGAAAACAGCATGATGGTTTCTTAAAAAAATTAAAAGTAGAAGTACCATATGATAACCTAGCAATTCCACTTCTAGGTATATACCCAAAAGAAATGAAAACAGAAACTTGAACAAATATTTATACATCCAGGTTCATGGCAGTATTATTTACAACAGCCAAGGGGCAGCATCACAAATGTCTATCTATGATGAATGGATAAACAAAATGTGGTATATACATACAATGGAATATTATTCAGCCTTGAAAGAAAAAAATTCTGACACATGCTACAACATGGATGAACCTTGAGGACATTATGCTAAATGAGATAAGCAAGTCATAAAAGGATTTGTATGATTCCATTTATATGAGGTACTTAGAGTTTTCAAATTCATTGAGACAGAAAGTAGAATGGTGGTAAAGAGGGATTGGGAGGAGAGAGTATGGGACGTCATTATTCATTCAATGAGTATAGAGTTTCACTCTGGGATGATTAAAATATTCTGGGAAACAGTTCTATTGGCTTGAGGTATCGGTGGGAGCAGCCGAGCGGCAGGAGTAGCGTTACGGGAGCTGGAGTTGCCGATTAACCCTGATCAAGATGACAACCTCCCAAAAGCACCGAGACTTTGTGGCAGAGCCCATGGGGGAAAACCAGTGGGGAGCCTGGCCGGGATTGGTGAAGTCCTGGGCAAGAAGCTGGAGGAAAGGGGCTTTGACAAGGGTTATGTGGTCCTTGGCCAGTTTCTGGTGCTAAAGAAAGATGAAGACCTCTTCTGGGAATGGCTAAAGGACACATGTGGCGCCAACGCCAAGCAGTCCCGGGACTGCTTTGGGTGCCTTCGAGAGTGGTGTGACGCCTTTTTGTGATGCTCTCTGGGGAGCCCCAGCCTTGAGTCTCCAGAGTTTGCAGCCGAGTGGGGGGCTCCTCCCCAGTCCTCTACAAAGGATTGATGCCTCCTCAACCTCCAATGCCCTCCAAGGTCGTCAGGGAGTTCTCTCCCCTCACCATTTCAACTTTTTTGGAGTTCTGCCTCTTGCATGCATCTCCCTTCTCTTTCTCTTGCCAATTTCGTGTCGATAATTACCAGCTTTTCTGAGTGGATTCCTGGCCCCTTCCTCCACCCCCACCTTAATCTTTGGTCTGTTGTATGCCATTTAGCTTCTCTTTTGGCAGAACAGTCATTGTCCTTATAATAATTAAAAAAAAAATTCTGGGAATAGGTACTGGTGATGGTTGCACAACATTGTTAAGGTACTTAACGCCACTAAATTGTACACTTAAAATGGTAAATTTTATGTTATGCATATTTTACCACAATAATTTTAAAACCACCTTACCAGAATAAGAAGAAAAACAGCAGTGTTCTACAACAACAGTTCTGAACCAAAGAGGCCAAAATAGACTATCCGTTATACCATGAACAATCCATAACTAACAGTAGCTTAAGAAACCAAGTGAATACTTCTTTATAAATGAGAGATGTTATTATTATAAGAATATGAGCCTTACATTCTTTCGTGTGTGTGTGTGTGTGTGTGTGTGTGTGTGTGTGTGTGTTAAGCAGGAGAGAAAGAAGTGGAATTTAACCTACATAGTATACAAGTCTAAGAAAATTGCCTATGAAATTTGACACATATATGAATATCATCTGAGATGTCTGTCGGGGGTAGAGAAAACGTTGAGAATTATACCGCTGGATCACAAAATCATAGAACCTTGGGTGGAAGAGACCTAAAGAGGCTAGTCAACCAGCCAATACTTGAATCTCTTCCACAACATACAGGGAACTCACTACTTCTCCAAATTCCAGGTGTTAACCAGAGCAGCTACAAGAATTAGAGAGTTATTGTGGTTAGGTCAAAATCTGCCTCCCGTAGCTTCAACAGTCCTGGGTGGTCTACCCATTCAGATCAAACAAAGCAAGCTGACTTTCTTTCTTAATGCCAGCACCTTGAACATATTAAGAAATATTGCATTGCCCACATGTCCTCCCCAGATTTTTTTCTCTCTTCCAAGCTAGAAGTTGTAAGTTCTTCCAGCTCCTCTTCATATGAACTCACTCTCATTTCTCCATCTCCCTCTGAATAAGGCCGACGGCCCCCATCTTTTCGTGGAACCTGTGCCGTTCTCGTACCCTCTGATCTGCTTCCCTGGTATGTGTACTCAAGGCGCCGCAAGGTAAACAAGCTGACCTAAATGTGTCCGTTACCAACACAACATCGGAAAGTTTTCAATAAAGCTCCGCTCTCCTTTCTGAGTTCCCCCTTGCTTTTCTTTGCCTTGTGTACAGAGGGCAGAAACCTAATATGGTTTCTTTCCATGTGTATGGCTGGCATATAGGAATTGTTGGTTTGTATTAAAAAAACAAAACAAAACAAAACCTGGATAATAACATGGTTCAAATAAACATAGCTTACTTTTCCCCCACTTTGGTTGGTTCGTTGGTTGGTTGTTTTCTCCAGTGTTCAAGCTTTGGCTGTTACCAGGATCCAATGAGTCTCACCCAGCATCTCCAAAAGTTCCCTGGCTAGCAGGACCTGCCTAGACACTCACTGCACATCCCTTGTTGTTTGTGTCCCAGAAACTGCTTTCCAACTGCCTTATTTCCTCGGGACCTCAATACCCACCTCTCCTGGTGGGTAGGCAGACATTTGCATCCTAAATTCGAGGGGAGGAAATGCCACACCATGCTTACTTGTTACAGCCACGTGTCGGTTTGCCTTGCCTTCATCAATCACATCCATGACTTCCTCGGGGCTGGACACAAACCGCTCGGTGCACCCCTGCAAGACAATCAGTTCAGGTTCACCATTAAAAAATTAAAACGCAACAATATTTTGAAACAGCTAAACAGATTCCTGTTTCTCTTCTAGATGTGCCAATCAAGAAGAAGGCTGCAATGTCGATCCAACAACTTTTTCCTCCTTGCCTAAGGCTTGAATTCAACATTACAAAGAAGTCTGAGCATCCCCTAGGAAACCCAGAAGAAAACCAAAAAAGAAATGCCAGATTTCCATAGATTGTCGACTGCATATTCAAACTCAGCAGCAATGCAGCCAGAAATAAAGAAAATCAATGACAGAAAAAGAAGTGGATAAAAGTTTTGCTTTGCTTTCAATTTGTACCAACTTTAATTAGACACTTTGAAGTGCTATAATAGGCTTCCCCTAACAGCAAGGTATAAACGATTATACTCAATACCAAAGCCTCTTTAAATGTGAATAATAAATGTTCGTTTCTGCAAGTCTTACCTCACATGATTAAACATCTGTGATACATTCACATAGAAATATGATTGCAGAAATTAACTGTCTATTTTTTAACCAGATGAATTGCAAATATAAGGAACATGATTAAATATCTATATGTACTTTATATAGGTGATATTCTGGGCATCACATGTAATCATCATTATGACAGTGAATGGAGAGAAATAAGTTGCACCATCAATCAAGTTTTCCTCATACCTTTACATACGGAACTCTGTTTTTATCTTCATGAACGGCCAAATTTGTCTTGGATACTAGAGAGATCATAATGACATGCAAAGAAGAAAAGAAAAGTTAAAGACCCTGTTTTGGAGGAGAAATAGAAATTGTTACAGAAGATAAGCAAATCTAATCTCTTTGCAATATACAAGTTTAAGCCTTGGCTGAGAATAAGCAGACAGCCTGAGGGCAAGAGAGGATCTCTGTAAATCTTTATTAATTCCTTAAGCAGAAGGGCTTTAAATCATTTCAGCCTCCCTGGACTTTAGTTACAGAACAAATAAAGGACAAGCATTCAGGTTACTCACCATCGAGTAAGTCCCTGATTTTGTCCAAGTAGATCTCAAAATAGGAAACCTGTTAAAAACAAACTGAGTTTGAAACAGAAATGCCACTATATTACAAAAATATCATTATTAGAGCTTATAAAACCTTTTGTCACACATTAGCTAAGAAGAGTAACAAGAAGGGGTCCAAAGTGAAGATTCAGAGTCCTAGAGTGCAGAGCTCCAGCCCACACTCCTGCTTCCTGCTTCGTGCTTTGTCTACTTGCTCCATGGGTCCCAGCTCAGCGTGGGCCACTCCCTGTCCCCCACATCACAGCTCCCTATGGTTCAATTCAGGTGCTATTTACATCGTGTGCTAGACAGCCACTTACAGGAGGACTCTAGCTTTTCCCTTAGATGAGCACCAAGCAAACTTCTAGGTACAACATCAGCTGGAACAGGGAACATCCTTTGCCAGTAATTGTCAAAAATCAGTAGGCCTCACCTTCTGCATGATATTGACAGCCTGCGCAGACCAGGGCGAGAGTGGGATCCAAACACTCATGTGAAGGAAGATGTGGGGAGGGGGGTAAAAGCAGTTTGCTGAGAACTACATGAGCTCAGCAAGGTAACTGGGAGAGAAATAATGATGGTGGCAGGTTTGGGGGAGTCCAGGAAGGATTTAAACAAAATGTGATTTAATGAAAGACAATTAAACTGTGAGAGGTAAAGGAAGCCTTCTAATCAATTATTCTCAGACCTCAGCCCCAGCACCACCTACGTCAGCACCTCTCATAGCATTTGTTTAAATTGCAGAGTCCTGAACCCAACTGCAGTCCTGAAACAGAATCTCCAAGGACAGAAGGTAGCAATCAGCTTCTAAACTCCCCAGGTGATCCATATGCTGGCTAACCTCAGAGAAAAACTTTAATGAGATGTGATCTTGAAAATTTAATTCACATGTAACCAAGATCCGAGGCCTCAATTTTCCCATCTGTCAAATGAAGCCATTAGACTTGATGCCAGAAATCCCTGCTGGGGGCAGTCCGAGTGGCTCGTTGGATAAGAGTTGGCTTGGACGCCAACTCTGAGCAGCAGGGCCCCGATTCGGATTCCACATGCGGGCCAGTGACACTGCGCCCTCTATGGCTAAGATGGTGAACAACAGCTCAACTTGGAGCTGTGAGTCGCTGGCGAAGGTGTAGGCTGCAGTGGGGATGGCCAGCAGTGGGTGTGAGCTTTTGTGAGCTGCCATGAGCTGCCTTGAGCGGCCAGTCAATGGCCAGCGAGCGACTGCCTCACCTGGGAAGAGCGCAATGATAATACCAACACGGGCCAGTGAAGCGATGTCCTCCACAACTAGACTGAAGAACAAAGGACAGCAACTTGTCTGTTCCCCTTCCCCCATTCCCCAACGCTGTTCCCCTCCCCCAATTCCCCAATTTAAAAAGAAGAAAGAAAGGGCTGGCCAAGTGGCGCGATGGTTAAGAACTGGCTTGGGACGTCAGAGGGCCCCAGTTCGGATCCCACATATGAGGGCCAGTGACACTGCCCTCTACAGCTAAGATGCTGAACAACAGCGCAACCTAGAGCTGGGCTGCCATGAGTTGCCGGCAATGGCGTAGGCTGCAGCCCCTGCTGTACTGGGTTGCCATGGGCTACTGTGTGTAGCCAGCAGCCAGCATGAGTAGCCAGCAGCCGCCGTGAGCAGCTGTCCAGAAGGTGGCAACTGATCTGCCTCGCCCGAGAAGAGCGCAATGATGGTGCCAACATGGGCCAGTGAAGCAACATCCTCCACAACTAGACTGAAGAACAAAAGGACAGCAACTTGTCTGTTCCCCTTCCCCCAATTCCCCAATAAAAATCTTAAAAAAAAAAAAAGTCCCTGCTAGGATTCTGCATCCTGTCTATACCTGCCTTCTGCCTCCCAGATCAAAATTTCTCTCCTTATGTTGATGGGTGGGTTCTTTGGAAATATAAACAAAGGAATGGACAAAAAATTGGAAAAAAAGAAGTTGAAAAAAATAGTTGTAAAGTTAGGCTGTGACTACAGGTGAGGCCTCATCTCCACATCCCAGCTCTGGGCCAGTCCTGCCTCTAGTTGGGCAGCAAGTCAAGACTCTTGGCACGGGTCCTAACCCAATTGAGCCCTGATTCATTACCTTCTGTCTGCATGTCAGTCTGGAACCTCCTGACTTCCTGGTTTCTCTGAGATTTGGGGTCCTGGCTTTGAACCCTGGAATCTGTAGCTGGACATCCCTCCATGTTGCCTGTCTCCCTAACAGCCTCTGTCTGCTTGAATGCATTTGAAATCCCCGTCACTGAGCTTCGCAGACCATAGACACACCTATCTGACCTTCGAAAGCCCCATTGCTTCTATTCCCGGAATCCTATAGATCTGTTTGGCCTCTAACACATCTCTCTAACCCAGCCCTTCCCGCAGCCAACTCAACCCTGGTTCCAACTCATTCTATATATTCCAGAATTGTCTGGTTTTCATTAAGATTTTTCTGTTATCTTTGAGACCTTACACATGTGCCCTTATTTCTATGGATTACAGAGAAAATTAATTACATCTGAAAAGCAGTCATGAACTGATATTGGCAAATCTGGCAACTAGAATCCTGTCCACATTTAATAAAAGTAGAAAGAGAATTCTGATTCATTCATTTCTTCTTACCACAGCAGTTACTGGCTGCTTTTTTTGAGGGGGGGGTTGATTTTGCTAATTTTGTCACTTCAAGTACTTTCTGAGGCCATGTAAGAGAAAAATAAATAGGCATTTCTTGGCATCAAGAAATAGCATGTTCAGAAATTATGTTTAAAACCTCTGTGGGACCCGCTTTAAGGAACAGATTTTCAATATTGCCTGAGTTGAGACTCTTTTTCTTGATTGGGCCTGTCACTACTCAGTACAAAATATGAAGTAGTCGATAATAGCTAACTTGCCCAGTTATGATTATTATTTATGAAATAAGCAAGCATAACTACAAATGCAGAACAGGAACCTAGGCTGTAAAATTCAGCCCTAGAGACGTGGGTGTTGTTCCTCCTGCAGTTGTTTTCATCTTAATAAGATTCTAATACAAGACCCTATTTTGAGGGCAGTAATTGGTTTAACATCTTACTCCAGGATTATCCCATAAGAACCCTACCAGTAGTTTGACGTTTTTAAATACAAACAGCCTTAAAGATGCACTAAGCTCCTAAATCTTGATCCCATCAAAGCAACAAGCTTCTGTATCCTTAGATATAAAGAACCCTGGCAAGAAGCTGCTTTCGCCAACAAAGGGAGCTATGAGGAAAAAGATTTGCCAGGTGGAATTTACAACTGGGCAAACAGGCATTCCCTTGGTTTTATATACTTAAGGAAAGGTATTTAGCAGAAATAAGTAAGGGCAGAGTTTAATATAATGGAAAAGGTACTGCATGTGGGGTTGGTCAGATCAAGAGCTTAATCTCAGCTCTGCCAATGATTTGTAATGTAACTTTGGCCCTCTGGATCTATTATGGCTTTCCACTTCCAATCTCTCATCTCTGAAATGGTGGGCCTAGTGCACTAAGGTCCCACCCTTCAAGGGTGATCAGCCTCTCGGCTGAACTGGTCTGTTCCACATCTTCTCAGAACTGCCCCTTTCTCCTCCCCACCCCATTAACTCCATCCCCAGTCACCATGCTGGGGACCCAGTCAGCCAGGTGCATCCCAGACATAGCCAATCAGAGCTGGGAGATCGCCTACAGTAGGCTGGGCCAGTGAGCTCCTTTCCTGAGGAGTCAGGAATTGGAAATAAGGGAACGCGGAGCAGGAACTAACATCATGCCCCCCCCCAACACACACACACACACACACACACACACACACACACACACAGAACAACAAACAAACAAACAAACAAACAAACAAATAAATAAATAAATAAAGCAAGCAAGAAGGCAGTAATGCAGAGACTGTAATGAGTATGGAGTTTCTTTTGGGGGTGAAAAAAATGTTCTAGAATTAGATAGTGATCATGGTTGTCCAATTTTGGAAAGAGATTAAAAACCATTAAATTGTACTCTTCAAAGGGTGCATTTTATAGTATCTGAATTATAGCTCTCTTTTTTAAGTTAAAAAAAAAAAAGGAAACGTAGGACCTGGATTTCTTGCTTCTCCACAACCCTTCCCCTTTAAGCCTGCTATCAGATTTTGGATCTTATAACAGCTTCCTCTACTTGATTAAACAAGTAGCTTTCAGTCACCTGCAAACAAAGAAGTTCCAATGCATATACCCCTAATACCAACAGTTATGAATTTAAGCCAGAACATAGGTTCTGGTTGTTAAAAAAAAAAAAAAAAAACACAAGGAGAAGGAGGAAGAGAATCCCCATCCCCAACACTTCTCAGAGTGTGCTCCCCAAAACAATCGTCGGTCATACTCCAAGGAGGGAAAAAAATATGTCCACAGTCAAACTGGGAAATGCAATATATTCCATGTCCCCTTTGCATAATCGTATGACACAAACAGCATATTTAAGCTAGTGATAAATTTAACATTGTTCAACCAAGCATTTTCCCAGCTTATTTGTCCATATAAGCATTTTCCCTGGTAACCCATCTATTAATAATATGAGAGACTGTGTTCCTTGAAACACGTTTTGGGCAAACTCAAGCATGGACACATTCCAGTCATATCTACAGAAATCTACATGGTAAAGGGTAGAAGTCAGGCAGCTATCAAGACAATTCCATTCTAAAGAGGATTTTTACTTATGTCTCTATATCGCAAGCAAACCATCCAGACAGCTAGGTATTACTTTACTCATTAAATTAAAAATACGGCTCTACTTACCACAGGAATGTCACTTAAATTAGATAAGATCATCTTTTTCATGTATAAAATAAGAGTACAGCTAAGAAACATGATTTTGGACCCCATTTCTTCTCTTGGGTCTCCATCAGTGGCACTGACCTTGATGTGAAACTCCAGGTTTTCATCCATGGAATAGATATGGTCAAAGATGTCATGTGCAATCCTTGGGATGATCCCCATGAGTTGAGGGTCATGCAGCTTCCCCTAGTGGATGAGAAACACACACACAGGTGCTGAAGAGTGTGGGAAACACATGACAGAGAGAAGGGACCGCATCTGGGTTTTTTTAAACAGAACTCCGTGGAACTGGAGCACACACAGAGGCTGCCTGCTCCCATGGAGAGCTACCTGACAGGCCAAGAGACCAAAAGTTAGCAGAGTAACTCAACAGGTTGGTCTTCGGACCCAGCAGAGAAGAGCTTGTTCTGTCAGGTTCTGAAGCCCCTCAATATTCCTTCTTGCCTGCCACTTGGGGCAACAAATCAGTGAGTATGTGAGTGGGTGTGTGGGTAGGCAGGAGGGAAAAGGACTGAGAATATATGGGTGACTATAACATACTAAATGAGGGTTTTGGTTTTGAAATTTTACAAACCAACCAGGACCTACAAGTCCAAGTTAATCTGCTTTAGTGAAGGCACCTTGAGAGCTGATATATATGTGGATGAAAAAAAAGGGGTTCTATGAAAAGTGACCTCACAGGGTGATCTGATCATAGATTCCTAACTGGGCAGGTCATGGTGGGTGGTCACTCCGCAGGCATATAACTTTTTGGTAAAAGGTGTATCTTTGCCTTAAGCAAGCCCTATTGTTTCTGTGCATCTAGATTAATATACATTAGAAATAAGTCATAACCACCCTCAAGAGAGCACATCATCTTACTATGGTACAATCCAGCCCCCACTTTGCTTTCTCCCACTGCTGTGCAATCTTCCTTACATTCCCTCCTTAATTTCAAATGCATAAAAGAAGCTGCAAAACTGTTATTCTCCGAAGCACTGGAGATCTTGCTCCCAGCATATGTCATCAGTTTGGCTCAAATAAACTCTTATAACAATTCTCTACAGGTTAAGACATTTCTTATGTCAACACATGTACAGTTTCATTAATGTTATCACTGCTCAAAAATTCCTAACAACCTATTCTGGAAATACCTTCAGGATCACTTTATAAACCAATCAAGAAAATTTGTTGTATCAATTTCATTTTAAAATCTGTAATTCTCAGCCTGAACTGTTCCAAATGTTGGGCTGTTTCTAATACTTAAATCCATATGCAAGATATTCTCTTAGTCTTTTTTACCCCCTTTTTCCTACTACTATTCATTTTACCTAAGGGGTAGAAGAATAGATGAATTTTTCTGCCATTTGGACTATCACTAAATCCATTCTTTTGGCTCAGATTTTGCCACCTCCGAAGACTATAAAAAATATATGCCATAGGTGGCTCAGTTGGTTAAGAGCTCGCTCAAGAGTTTGAGCTCTGAGCAACAGCGGTTCGAGTCCAGCCCGAGCTGAGC